CCTTCTGAGAAACCACTGACACCTGGAGAGCTGCGGGCTGGGTACCGAGGTGGGTCTGGGTGGCAGCATCTCCCCAGGAAAGAGCCTTTCCCTCCCCCTTACCCCAAACCTCTCCCCTGGAAGGGGCAAGGAGCTGCCACCACCATCAGGTTTAAGGGAGGGGGAAGGTGACCCTAGAGGGTACCGGTGGTCCCCAAGGGGCTTGGTTGGGTTCGATGGCCATCCCGGGGTGCTTGGTTGGCAGAAACAGGGATGGGCTTCTCGCTTGGCCCCGGGACAGAGCCCTTCGTTAGTGGGTGTAAGCATGTGCTCCAGGCCCTGGTGAGGCCGCACCTCGAATCCTGTGTTCAGTTTTGGGCCCCTCACTACAAGAAGGACATTGAGGTGCTGGAGCGTGTCCAGAGAAGGGCAACGAAGCTGGTGAAGGGCCTGGAGCACAAGTCTGATGAGGAGCGGCTGAGGGAACTGGGGCTGTTTAGCCTGGAGAAGAGGAGGCTGAGGGGAGACCTCATCGCGCTCTACAACTACCTGAAAGGAGGCTGTAGCGAGGTGGGGGTTGGTCTCTTCTCCCAAGTAACGAGCGAGAGGATGAGAGGAAATGGCCTCAAGTTGCGCCAAGGGAGGTTTAGACTGGACATTAGGAAAAATTTCTTTACTGAAAGAGTGGTTAGGCCTTGGAACAGGCTGCCCAGGGAAGTGGTGGAGTCACCATCCCTGGAAGTATTGAAAAGACGTGTAGATGAGGCGCTTAGGGACATGGTTTAGTGGGCATGGGGGTGTTGGGTTGACGGTTGGACTCGATGATCTTAGAGGTCTTTTCCAACCTTAATGATTCTATGATTCAATGATTCTGTCATTCTATGATTCTATGAATTAAAGGGGTTTTTGGGGTGAAAGCTCTTTGCTGGCAGTGTCTGGAAGGGTGGGTGTTGTGGGCATTGCTGGGGGGCACAGGGCATGGGGTGCGTGGTCACCCCAGGGTGCGATGGTGGGGACATACCAGGAGAGCAGCTCTGGGTCTGGATGAAGGGCACGAGCTGGCATGGAAGCGATGCACCGGGCGGGTATTTTGGCTCCCGCTGTATTTCAGCAGGTCACTCTAAGCCCGTTGTGGGCACAGGGCACCCTGGCTCAGGGACACCACTGCCCGAGCCCTCCCCTGCCGCAGTGCTGGGGACGAAGGTGGTGTGAGCTGTGCTCTCCACACCACGATGCTTCACCTCTGCTTCACCTGGGGTGAGCATCACTTTGGGAAGGAGGTAAGAGGGCGTTTGGGCTGGTACTACGCTTTGAGATGCCCACGGTGAAGAAATGCAACCTTTGTGTGGCTCTGACACTCTTCCAGCATCCTTCTGCCAAAACCCGGCTACCTTTGGGGAGGGCCTGGCCTCTGTCCTTCCCCAAATGATTAATTTATAAATGCTGTCTTAAGGATCACTTTTCTAAAAGCAGCTTTTTCTTTCAAGCCTTTTTTTTTTGCCTTTGGTTACGTTTTAGTGTAGTGCACGGGGGGAAGGTGGGCTTGGAGGTCTGGCAGGAATGGAGACAGAGGGAAATCAAAATTGGGCAAGAGAAAGTCCCTTGGTGTTTCCTTCCAGGATTTTGAGGTTAGAAATAAGAGGCGGCTTTGAAAGGCTACAGAGGTCCTGGGCACCCACGGTGCTTTCCTGGGTGAAGGACCTGATGTGCTTCTCCCTGCTTGATGTTATGGGATTTGGCATCTCGCAGTGGATAGTGTGGTTTTGGTAACACCTTCAGGTTCATTCAGGGTCTGGGGCAAGCCTGGGCCGTATGAGCTGGATGGCAGAGGAGCCCCAAAGCCCAGAGATGGTTCACGTGCTGGAGCCAAGGTCTCTCGAGATGAGCATTGCGCAGGATCCAGGCTGGGTTTCTGGGAATTTCAGGCCTGTTGCCAAGACTTCATTCAGTCTCAACGCTGTGCTGATGGGGGACAGGGCCAAACTTGCTCTGGTTGGAGAATGAATTCAGAAAAAAGGCTTGCCCAGCCAGTGATGGAGGGTAAAGAGAGGCTGTATTTAATCACCCGGTCGTTCTGTAGCATCAACATTAAGCACAAATTTGCTTGAAATCGCTGGCAGGAGCTTTGCCCAAAAAAATTTATCAGGCAGTGATGAAAAATAAATTTCTGGAAAATTGTATTTTGTATATGGACAATGTGAACAAGGGACAATGGCCCAAATGACCGGGTCATTGTTGCTGATTGTATGCCTAGGCTTGGGTTAGGTTATCACCAGGAGAAGAAAACCACCACGTGTAGATGTCTTTCCTTTAAAAGATTTTAGCAACTGTGTTTCACCAGGATACTGGAAAGGCAACACCCTGGTACCGTGTGTGAGATCAAGGACCAGCATTGGTGTATAACGGCAGCCGAAGGCCAGATATTATCTCCAAGGTTGTCCTTCAGACTTGACGATGGAGTTGTGTCAACGAGGTCCTCTCATCCCAGTTACAGGACTTATAAAAGGGATGACAGACATGAGCAGGGAAGGAGAGATACACGTCAGTAAATCTAGTTAGAGAATAATCGGCCTTTTTGAGGATCTTCTTTTGAACCTCCTGGAAAAGCTTGGCACGTTTTGATTTTCTGTTTGACTTGTACTTTTGAAAAGAGAGGTTTCTTGCCTTCCACTTGATTGCGAATGATGAGCTCCCGTGTTTCCACTGACGTCTCTTCCTTTCACCCGGGAAGGTAAGCAAACAGCACCATCCGAGACATGATGAATGCCCCCCGCTGTCACTCTCTGCTCCTCATTATAACAGCTGCACTACAGTGCCTTTGTTAGGACACTTCTTGCCTATAAACTCTTGGTGATGTTGGGGAAAAATATTACTCTGTTGGTCTACTAGGAGGCTTCCTAAGTTTTCATCAGTTCTGTCTGCTGCTTCTTGTTGGCTTTTGGGACCTAAAACAGGGCAGGCTGCTCAGGAGGCGTGACGTGCTGCCACCCGTGACGCTGGCCATGTTCCTCAAGAGAACCCATCATCTGCAGCCTCTCTGACTGACCTGTTCCTCAACTAGTTGACTTGTTGCCTGATTTGATGCTGATGGGAAGTAAGAAGAGATGCCTCATTTACATGTGAGATGTTGCTGAGCTACAGCACGCTTACTCCAGGTCGGACTGCAGCTTGTAAGCTGGCCACTTGAAGGGCTGGACCCTGTATCTAATCTTGACCTTGGGGTTAGCTATGATTTTGTGTGCCAGTACGTGGCATGGTCAAGGAGGCTGCGTTTCCCGCTTAATGCCCTTCTTCAGCTCTGCAGCCGTGGTGAGTAACGTCAGAAAATCCAGGAGCATGACCTTGAAAGAGACACTGGCCTGAATTATAAGCTACTGCAAAGATGCCTTTATGTTGCCATCTGGAAGATGTTTCTTGAGACAAAGCAGCTTCAGTGTGACAAAATCAAAAAGCAGTGTTTAGCATTTGTAATGCTCCCTTGGCTGCGAACCCAGCAATGAGCTGCATTGTCCTCGGACGTGGGGATGAGTCCCTTCTCCGAGACCAGGCCAGTGACAATGCCCAGCATTGATCAGGGCCCTCAGCAGAGGAGTGACCCCAGTGTGGTGGTCGTTTGGGCTACATGGAGGTGGTGTCAATGACAACAGAGCGCAGCCAGAGCTATCTGAAGGGTCCATCGACCTTAAGATGGGAGAAGTTAAGGATGGGAAGAGTGAACTCATCTATTCTTCCAAGGGTCTTGAAGTGCTCTGAAATCTGAATGGACCTGAGCCTTCCTTCCAGGAGGGGAAACAGTTCATTTCCCGTTAGAGAGATGGTGATACCAAGGCACTGAGATTTGTGTCCCTCTTACGATGGCGGCGAAGAGGGATGGTGTAGGAGAAGGAAGGGAATGGGCATTTCTCAGCTCGCGTTTGTCTTCCCTCAGCTGTGTCGTCATCGTTCCCCGTGTGCGTGGAGTCCCTGAACAAGAGCACCAGGGCTGTGCCAGCTGCCGGCTTCAGGCAGGGCTGCTGTTGCGTGATAGCTCTTTTGCTTGCTGGTCCTTCTCTGAGACTCTTTGGTTTGGGATCAATGACTTCGGCGAGAGATAACGTGGTGGCATATAGAAATAGCAGGGAAAATGGGCTCTAGAGTTCAAGACTGCAAGTAGTGATTTTTCTCCCAAGTCCTCTAATTTGACTCCTTTCTTCTCCATCAAGCTCAGCGTAACCCAGGCAGATGTCGTGCACCTGGGGTGGGATGAGTTCAGCTTGGAGGAGTGGATGATGTGGGTTGGGGCTGGTGGAGCAGCTCTTGTTCCTCTACACATCATGTACATGAGGATGACTTTGGCTGTGGTGGGGGCCGAGACATGAGCTGTGGGCTCTCTAGAGTTTGCCTACATACGCAGATACTCGTCAAGCCCTCCTGATGTGATCCGTGAAAACTGGGGCTGGGGTGAGCCTGGCGTTTGCTCATCCTCGCTTTGTCTCCGTGCGTACGGTGCCTGCGCGTAGGGGAGGGATGACTAGGCCAGAAGGAGAGATGGGCCTCTGCCTGCTGGAAGAGTTGGTGTCTACAGGATGGCATGAAGCATGGGACCTCCCTGCCAGGAGGGGACAGGGAGGCAGGGGGAGGACGGGTGTCCCTGGCCATGACTGGGGTGGAAATGGCCGCACCAACCTTGGGGAAGGTTTCTGCCACAAGTCCCGTGACAAATGTTTCTGACAGGGTTTGCTGGGGATTTCTAAGTCTTTTAAAAAAATATCAAAAATCTCTCTCTCTCCTCGTGTTAAGGGCCAGAGTATTGGGGTAGGGAGACTGGGAGTTTGGTATTTCTCTGGGACAGATGCAAAGCAATGAGGTCTTCCCTTTCCCACGGCCTTTGCTTGTGCCGTGGTTCCCTCCAGCACTCGTGAGGGGCCGGTTGCTACCTCAGACAAATAGTAATTTTTGTTTTTTTCCCTTTTCATATTATAAAATACAAACAAATGACAGAAAAGGTCAGGTGGTGGGAGGTGGGAGAGGGTTCAGCTGGCTCAGAGCTGTAGGGACCGTCGCTTCCTCCCAGAGACATTACGGTGGTTGTAAGGTCGCATCTTCATTTCCACGAAGGGGATGGAGAACTCGTGGCCTTTCCAATGGTACCAGTTAATCCCCTGGCAGGAGGGAGAGAAAGGCACAGGGTAAAGAAAGACCCTAACACAAAACTAGGGTGGGAGAGGAAAGAAAAAAGCTTGACTGCCATAGATAAGCCAGAAGAACTTGCTCCAGCAGGAGCAAGAAACTCTGCTGCTGCTCTGGCTTGATGGGTTTTTCCCACTGCTCAAAGGCTCCCGATCAAATTTTATGTATGTATTTTTGTAAATGTAACTTAACAAGGAAAATGACCATGGCAGCTAGCGTGAGGCACGAAGCACCACCCCAAATGGCTCAAAGGTGGTTCCCTTTGCTCCAGCTTGTGTTGTCACCCCAGTGGTGCTCCTGACCCTGGTACACCGACCATGCAGCCCCGGCCCTAGCTTGTCGTGCTTGGTCGTGCTGCTAGAAGAAACGCTTTCAGCCCAGCTCTGCCCTTACCTGACTGTGGCGGGACTCTCCGTACTTGCCGTTGAGGTTGGTGCGGTGACAGTTCTTATACCACCAGGCCCCTTTATAGGACATGGCGCAGTTGGTCACAGCGACATCGTTGTCCCTGTCCTTGGTGGAGAAGGGGCGGCCCTGGTGATAGCTGAGGGAGTCCCCTGTGGCAAGAGGTGCCGTTAGAGGTGATGGAGCCCGAGTCATCTGGTCTTTTTCACAAGGAAATTAGGATATTCTGGTATATGCGGTAGCCTGTTGTTCAACAGCTCAAGCCTCTGAAGGTCTGGGAATAACGTTAACTGGAATTGCTCGCAACTGGTTCATCTGAGGTCCTCTGCTGTCAGTTTGGAATCAGTACAGATAACAGCAAATCTCAGAGGCTGCTTGGGTTTGGCAGATAAAATGCTATATGGTTTTGGATCTGAATTTCAGTGTTTCAGAAAAAACCTAAATCCTAGATTTGGGCATCCCTGATTTCCTGAAGCCTGACTCTGCTACGTAACTTTAGGATGCTTTCAGCCTCCCTCCCTCCTGTTAGTCAAAGGGGACTTTTTCTCCCAGAGGAGGCCAAGCATTCGCCTCTTGAACCAAGATGCTTGGCCTTCTTTTCTCCCTTTGGATAAGGGGAAGAACCTTTTGGAAGTTGCGTGTTGTCTTATTCTACCAAAACCGCCAACCTCATCTCCCCTCCTAAGGGACAAGAAAACTGCTTTTGGCTGAAAGAAGAGCCAAAGCGAAATATGGTCGTTATTACAATTGACTGATGTACTTACAGGAGACATTCTTAACATGCTCCTTGGTGGTCCCTAAGAACATACGAAGTGGACCCACGCTAGCTGTGTGCAGTCCAACCACCGAGAGGCTTGCTAGAAAACCTCTTGGCAATGAACCGTTTGGCGAGTCTTGGCTCTCTCTGCTCAAAGTGGAGCAGAAGCTCCTTGGTTGGACGGCTAGAAGAAGAGCTTGCGTGGGGAAGGGGAGGGAGTCGTGTCTGCGGCACTGTTACTGGACATTAGGAAAAATTTCTTCACTGAAAGAGTGGTCAGGCCTTGGAACAGGCTGCCCAGGGAAGTGGTGGAGTCACCATCCCTGGAAGTATTGAAAAGACGTGTAGATGAGGCGCTTAGGGACATGGTTTAGTGGGCATGGTGGTGTTGGGTTGACAGTTGGACTCGATGATCTTAGAGGTCTTTTCCAACCTTAATGATTCTATGATTCTATGATTCTACTGGCATTTTTGACAACAGGTTGGGTGCCTCGTGCCCTGGGACTTAAGGTCAGAGCAAGGGCTGTGTTGCACGCAACCGAGTTCCCTGTCTCTTCTCTTCCAGTGGCAACTACCAGATACTGTATAGAAAAACTCCTGCGTCTTAGATATGGTGTGGGGTTCCTCGCTAAGTACATGGCGGTGACTTTTTGTCACGGAGGTTTGCAGTCACTGGGCACGCCTATCCCAGCTAGAAGGGCTGCAACTGTACCCCTCTACCGCTTCTCGGGGAAGAGACCCCCTCCCTCCATCACCCACCGTTTTCTGGTGGGCAAAGCCTAGCGCTGCTGCATCAACCGAGCGAGAGGTGTGACAGTGTCCTTGCAAAACGGGGCGGTGTTTGGCCTCTGCATGAGGAAATGATGCAGAGGATTCCAGCTTTTTCCATTGCTGTGGGAGGGCGATAAATACACCCTCCAGCATGACATCAATAGTGAGCTGCAGTGATTGCCAAATGAGATGACACCTCTGATGATTGACCTGGTTATTTGAACAGCAATGCCTCTGATATTTAATATCTACTCCCCAATGGAAAATCCCCTCTGTCCTTAGTGGGATTTATCAGCCTGGTTTACACGACGGACTGAAGGAAGGCAGAAAGGGTTTGCGTTTTGCTGCTCCAGACAGGTAAGCTTTGATATTGGGATTTCCTTCACAGTTTCAGACCCAACGGTCCCAGAATTTCCCTACTACTCGCTAGCACTGAGATTGTACCTGAAGTGCCATTGTAGTCCCCGATTCGCAGCTTGTACAGGCTCCGGGAGTCGCCGATGGAGAACTTGTCATAGTAGGCGTACGCCGCTTCCTGGCCGTCCCTCATGTCTATTCGCAACTCGTAGCGCCCCTGGGACGTGATCTTGTGAATGTTGTCCAAGCCTGGCGAGACAAGCAGCAAGACACCTGGTGAGACCCAGTGCCTGGATATGCTCCGTGAGCAAACAAAAAAAGCTCTAGGCAAGTAAAATGTCTGTGGGAAATGAGAGCGAGGAGAGGAACCAGAGAACAACAGCGCTTCTGGTTAAGTCTTTGTCTTTCCTGGCACTGGTGGGGTCTGAGCTCTCTGTCCCCACCCAAGCTTCACATCCCCGCAGCTATGAGAGGTGGGTTCAAGCCCCAGGTTCAGCTTTCTCCATGCGCTGAAGCTGGGGATGATCAGCTGTGGAGCCCTGGTACTTCTTGTGTTGCACACCCGTCTTTTGAGCTGTTAAGCTCCTGTACAAGCCAGAGCGTGTTTACGCTGCAGGGCTGGCGTTGGCTTGCGGTCAGGTTTTGGGGGAGCATGCTCCATTTCAGAGCTGTGCTGGGCCTCCTGCTCACCCCTTTCCTCCTTTCTTTGGGCACTGGCTTGCTGGCCAAGGCCAGGTGAGATCCATGAGTCGTAGATGCCACCAACGCAACCTGTAGTCATCCAAAGGAGGGTGATGGGTTTTGGTCTGTGAAACCCCCCAGCGTGCCCCCTTCTCTCCTAGGAGGAGCAAATTAGGGAGCTGCTGGCCTTCCCGATGTGGTGTGCCCACGAGTGACTTTCTAACGTGCAGGGGAGGGAATGAACAACGGAAGGAAAACTGTCCAAGGGAGAGCGCAGAGGAGTGGGGCGAAAGGCAAGGAGCCAACAGCTGGCACGGATGAGCAGCACGGTGTACCGGGAGCTTGGATTTGATGCATCGGTGAAAGACAACCAGTTAAGGTCTTACCCAGCCAAAACTCATCTTCCAAGTTTCCAAAGCCAATCCTGTAATCTGCCCATTTCCGGAAGAAATCAGTCAGCCCGTTCTGCCGCCTCTGGAAGACCTGCCGTGGGGGAAGATCAGGAGGAAAATCGGTGTGAAGGAGAAGCCAGACAGCCTCCCTGGGCTTTGGGGCACGTGAAATAAAGACAATACTTTGTCTTTCCATCGTGCCTTTCAGGGGAGAAAATGGCAATATCCCTCCGGTTAGTGTTAATTGCAGCCATGCAATTAATTCATGTGCAGATAGAGAAACTGAAGAGATGTTAGGTGATGTCCAAGGCAAATCAATGTTATAATAGGAAGGAATCGGCCTCAAGCTTTCTGCTCTGCTCGACACATGGTGCCTCTGGTTTTCTAGCATGTGATTCTGCTTTCAGCTGGCTCTTCCTGTGATATCCAAGGGGATGCTCTGAGGCAGAGCGAGATGGAGGGAAATTTCCTGGCTAAAATAACATCTGTGCTAGAAATCAGCATTTGAGGAAGCCCTTTTTTTTTTGTTTCAGCTATACATCTAGCGGAGTTTTGTGTAACGCGTGTAAGTAAGCTTTTGACACGAATAAAATCAAAGCACCAGAGCATTACTTAAGCTGTCAGTCCATCTACGTCAAGACAAGCAGTGTTTGTGCAATTCAAAAGCCAAACAGGCGTTTGCCTCTAAATGGTCCTGTGCGGACTCAATTGGAGTGATGCCTGACACTCTCCTACTGCAGGCAGCGTGAATCATTCCCCGTGAAAGCTATCGGCCATTAATTTCATTTCTAGAACAATAAATCTGCTTCACTCTCGGATTTTGCTCTCCAGAAGCACTGCAAACATGTCAAATAAATCAAAGGGCATTTCTCCAAGTGTAACTATTATTGCTGGAGCGTGGGCCATTCCCTATGGCGTGGGAAATGAAGCGTGCGATATTAAGCCTGCTGTCGTTCCCGTGCAGCGTGGTGCTTGGCTTTGCTGGTAGGATGGGGCTCGGTTACTTTGCGATGGGGACAGCAGATAGGACAACCATGCGGCTACTCACAATCCAGCCGCCTCCGTCGGTGGTCATGTCGCAGTACACCTGCACTCGCTGGCTGAGGTCCCCGTTGATGGAGATGGTGTAGACGCCGCTCAGCGTGTCTCCGTTCATCAGGTGCTGGGCGCAGTCCTGAGGGTTAGCAAAGACACGGCCACCTGCGAAATTTAAAAAAAAAAAAAAAAAGGCAAAATTTAAGCAGAGCGACACCCTTTCCATATGCCTTGGGGCCCACTGGTTATGATCCAGGAAAGGTCTAGCTTGGCTTCTGCGTCCCGAGTTATTCTGCGAGGCGGTGGGACTTTACGTCTGCCAACAACATCAGAGGATTTAATGGGAAAAAATGCGTGCATGTATTAATTAATCTCCCATACGTCCTATATTGGAAAGGTGCATGGTAACATCACTATGAATGATGAGGGATGTAATTTCTTGGACCGTCTTTCTGCACTGTGTCTGAAACCCTGGGGTTTAAGCTGTCACCAGCGTATTTAGACAGCTGTGAAAATACCAAAACCTGTTCTCCTCTCAGGATTGCCAGCTCCAAATAAGTTTTATGACTTTACTGATTCCAGGGGGATTCTCCTGATCCATGCCCTTGGAAATGATGGTGGACTTACGCCGGGCTGATTGTCACTTGCAAACTGAGCAAGAATTAGGCCATTGCAGATGCTAGAGATGGGCAGCGTGGCTGTGCTCCAGGTGTCCTCTGACGGAGAAACGTTTCATTTGGGGGTCAGAGTTTAAAAGGGTCTTACCTACGAGACCCCAGCAGTATTGGGGTGTCAACTCTGGGTTCAATTTTTTCTCATTTAACGCAGAAGGGGGAAATACTTCTTTTTCTTTGCTGTTGGTGTGTATGGTTGATGGGGTAAATGAGGGCAGAGCAGGCAACGTGGATGTGGCTTTTGAGGGTGTCTCAGTTAAGCATTGAGAAGGTGTGAAGGACGTGCTGTGTGTGTCCATCGCAACTGCGAGATACCTGTAGGACCAGGGTACAGACCCTTGTCTGTTATTTCAGACAGGGTCTGAAATAACTTGGGTGTTATTTCACCCACCCTTGCGACCTGAAGACTCCGAGGTCGTTGCGTTGGCTGAATGTTGAAGATCCCCTATTTTTTCCCATCTCCGTGGTCTGTAGCGCAAAGTCTGGTGAGACAGTGTTTGCATTTTATAGTATCCAGCAATGAAAACTGCTTCAAAGGCAACCACTTCAGGCTCCCCTGAGCTCTGCGGAGATTACTTGTTTCTTAATTTATATTCATATCTTTAAGAGCCAAGGAGACCTTGAAAGACATTTCAAACCGCTATAAATTATAAATACTGTATCTGTTTCTTCCTTTTGTTCCATCTGTATACAATTCCCCAAGAACCTTACGCAAACACGGAACAAAGAGGCCGAGCTATTAATATGTCAGAGAGAATGGAAGAACCCCGGGATGTGTACTGTGAGCAGAAGGAAGCAAAACAATTTAAATTAAGCCTGTTTGTTTTTTTTTTTTCTTTTCTTTTTTTTTTGTCTCCTTAAAGACAAGTCCTTTTTCTCTGCAAAGTGGCCCGATACGCTGCCAGAGTGAATTGAACCCCAGACCCCGATTCTTTGCTGAGGGATGCTGCCCATGGATTGCATCGCCTCGATGTTTGTTCCTGGGTGCTTCCGTCTCATCAACATATAGGGTAAGTGGGGAGAAATTGGTTTCTTGCTGATGCCTATCTTCATCTTAAAAGCAAATTAAACCTGTGTTCGCATGCGGCATCAGCTGGCAATGGTGTCTCGAACACTGCCGAGGCCTGACATTTGTGTTTAATGGAAACGGTGCTCTCCTTGCCTGACGTGAGTGGGTTTCTGCTGCTTTATCCCAGCTGAGAAGCCAGCCCTGCGCAGTTTCGTCCCTGACTCCCAAACAGCCTCAAAGGTTACATGCATTTTTCCATCACCTGCCTGAATTGCACTGGCTTTATGTGCCCGCATAAGGGATGAGAATAACAGGAAAGCCTGATCCGTAGATGCATTAGAGAAGAGTCTTGTCTTTTTTTTTGTTGACGTAAAGAGCTTCTATCGTCTCTTAAAAGCGGGTGAAGGGACCTTTGCGTGTAACCAGGATGGGGAAGTGTATCCAAAACAGATTCAAAGAAAACTCTCCTAATCAAACTGGCAGTGCAGATGGGAGGAATTCTGGTGGACATCGCCTTCAGGATTCTTAGGTTGGACTTGATGATCTTAGGGGTCTTTTCCAACCTTAATGATGCTATGATGCTATGATTCTTAGTGCTTTTGAAGCTCAGGAGAAACGTAATTGGATTCAGCCCTGAACAAAATGCACTCTGTCTCTTAGGTGCCCTGGCCTAGCAAGGCTTTTCAAAGAGGGTGAGGGACTATATCCTTTGCACAGTTTCTAATGTGAATGGCAAAGGGTGGGGGCAATGGTGACATTTTCATGCAAGCGTAAGCACCCCATCTGTGAGGGTTATGGTGGCTGTGGATGCCCAGCGTTTGATTTGGAAAGGAAACCATTCCCGTTGCCTTCGTGGATCGTGACTTCTCTAGAATTAGAGGGGGGAGGAATAATGCAATTAGATAAAATCAGTGGGACCACAGTCCTGCGGGCATGCTGGCTCTGCTGCCTGTGACTCCACTGGTGGTGGCGGAGATGCACCTGCTTGATATTTCCAGGGATGGTGCCCCATCCTGGAAACATTCAAGGTCAGGTTGGACAGGGCTCTGAGCAACCTGGTCTAGTTGAAGATGTGCCTGCTCATTGCAGGGCGGTTGGACTGGATGACCTTTAAAGGTCCCTTCCAACCCAAACCATTCTGTGATTCTGTGATTCTATGATATTTGTGAGAAATTGGACCGTGTCTACAGCGTGGAAGAGACAAACTGGGTCTCTCCCCACTCACTAGAAGAGCATGTCTGTTGATAACCTGTTGATGACTTTTGTGGGGTTTTTGCCTCTATTTATGCATTTGAGGAGGGGCAAGGGCAAGGCAAAGGGCCTGGTAGATGGTTTCTGGGCTGAAGCTCAAATCCCCTTGCCCTGGGCTGGACCTTGTGTTTGTATTATAGGTCCTTCAGCCATTAACTTTTTGTAGCAGAGCAGCACTGCGCGTTGTGGAAATGAACGTACCTCCCTGTGGATTGTGGTGAAATGCTGCCTGAGGAGGGAAAGCCCACAAAAGCAGTCCGTGTCTACCACAGGGTATGTGGGCTAAGCCTTGCCTGGCCGAGCGGACGTGGTGCGAGTCCTCACCTGTGGTGAAGGTGGTGGAGATGAAGCCGCTCCGCATGGCGTTTTGGGCAGCTTGCAGGCGCACGGTGTACTCTGTGGTCTCAGAAAGCCCCTCCAGGCGGATCCACGTGTCCTCGGCATCCACAATCAGCTCCTGTACATGGGTCCCAGAAGGAGGTAGACACCAAGAGCAACAGATGAGAAAAGCGATGGGGAGCCTAAAGAGCAAGCGAGGAGGGAAGGGAAGCCACAAACTACCGCAGCCCTTGATGCCTGGCCGAGGAGTGTTGCGTGGCTGCTTACACCCCTGGACTAAGTCAACGTGAGGTCAACGAACGAATTCAACTTTTTGGGATGGTTCAGGTGGGAGAAAGCTAACTGGTTTGCACACAGAGGATTTAAATGTTTGCGGTCTGTCTGCTCTATTTACCGACTCTGTTGGGATCTGTGTGCCCTCAATGTGGGACGTGACAGATTGCCCAAGCATCGCAAGGAGTAGAGCTCGCCAAACCTGGTTATCAGCCAGTTCTGACTCCGTCAATTCCTGTCACGTTAATTTTTCTGGTCGTCAGCCAGTGCCAGATAGCATCATATCGAACCCCTTCTGCAAAGCTATTATCCTTTGGCTGCTGTGAGCCAGTCACACCGGCAAAGGAAATGAGACTATTTACGGTGACGTATTTCTGATAGCGTTTGTAGCAGCTCTTCCAGACAGGCCGATATGGACACACTCATTAAATAATCAAATATATTGTATTGCGAGATTAATTAGCTGTCTGTACCTATCTTCCTTTTTGCAAGAAGAGCAAATAGCATTTCTAGCATCTCTGTTCGCGGCATAATTTTCTCCTGCCTCGGCTTGCTTGTGTTTCACAAGTTGTGAATTTCTCCTGTTCCTCCAAACTTTCCAGGCATGCCCTCTTTGCCCAGACCTGCAGGTGTGCATGAAGATTTTGCCCTAGGCGATCTTTTCCTGCTTTTTCCAATGGTTCATCTAAAGTATCACTTACGCAGAAAGTAGCGTCTGCCCTTCTAGTCTCTCCCTGAGCTGGTGAGCATTGTCCTTTTGCTTTGTTGGGTTTCTCCTGCTCCTTTCTCCATGGTCATGTTATTCCTTGACTTAATGAGCCTCTTTCTTTGTGAGGACTCACTCACCTTCCGGCTGCCATCAGTGGATCTGTAGGTCATGATGTAGTTCTCGATCTCTCCCACGGGAGGCACCCAGGAGAGCAGGGCACTCCGCCGAGTGACTTCGCTGGCGGTCAGATTTGTTGGAGGATCCAAAACTGCAAGGGTGGAGAGGGACCCAGGGAAGTGCAAGTTCTCACACACAACCACCCCAACCCCACTGCCCAACTCAGCGCACTGGAATTCAACCTTGCAACCCTGAGCTACAGCCCAAAGTCCATCTTCGCCCTCAGTTTCCAGACCTCATCACCCAGCCTCAGCCTTGAACAGAGCTCTGCAAGCCCTCTAAAAGTCCTCCTCTACCTTCATGCTTTCTGAAGGGTAACGACTCTGAAATTCATGTGCTATGGGGCCTGTCAAGCTTCTTGTAAGCAAAATGGGCTGTAGTGCTCTTCTGGATTATGGTCTTGGGCAAGAAAAAGACCCAGTCAAGGGTCTTCTCGGGAAACCACATCCAGGGGAAACCGAAGAAAGGGGTGGATGGATGTTGAAAGAGCGAAAATGATGGTTGATGCTTGTTGTGATTAAAATTCTGTTCTTGTGTTGTGCCCCACACTGGTCTTTGGGTGTCCTTTTTGCACATGGCTACTTCTGCACCCAGATGTATGTGACAAGAGCTTTGGCTCAGCCTTGCTGGCTGCTTTTCCGGGGGTGGATGTATGGCTAATGGCAGTGGGGGAGGTGGTTGTACGTACGAGTCGTAAAGTTGGTGCTGATGGTCTGGCTGGTGAGAGGCCCGTTGGTGGCGTACATGGAGACTGTGTAGGTGGTACTGGGCAGGAGGTTGGTCAGCTGGTACTCCTGGTTGACTCCATCCACGAGAATTGTTTCTCCTGCAACTGTAAGCCAAAAGAGATGACTTCAGGTAGATATTCAAGGCGGTTCTCCAAAATGTGACTATGGATATGACCTCATGACCAAAAGCACTTATACTGCTGAAACACCGTGAGCTATTGCGTGGCGGCTGAGCTGTAGTGGTGGTGTTTGGTCTGAAGGATGGTCTTATTTTTCCCACGGTCCCTATATTTGCCTGACGCTTTCTTTCCCTTCAGTAGTGGGTTTCATGGAGTTTGCCGCACATTGGGTTTCTGTGGGATGGGTACTTGCTTGCCCCTGGGTTGCTGCTGGTGGGCCAGTTAGTAAAGCGAGGGGATCCCAGTCCCCTTCTGTATGGACTGCCATGCTCCGAGGCTTGGTGAGAGGCACTGCCGTGGGACCTGCACGGGAGGAGCTGGCTTCTGGGGTACAGCCCTGCCACCCGCCAGCTGCTGCCCTCCCGAAGCTCCTTCCCTACTCCCTCCGTGGAAGGCAGCTGCTGACCCCCCGAACCTGGGATGGGGGAGAAGTGGAGGCGAGCTAAAATGGAGCCCCAGCAAAGCTCGCGGCAGAGGGGCGCCGGGTTTCGGTGTACCTGCGCGGCGGGTGAGGACGAGGATGTAGCTCTCCACATCTGACAGCGGCGGATTCCACTGCAGCAGTGCCTCGGTGGGGGTGACGTTGGTGGCTGTGACCCCCAAGGGGGCATCCATGGCTGCATGGGGGACAGATTCAGAGAGTCAGAGGCATTAAGAGACTGGGCTATGAACTGGAAGGGCTTCTTTTGACCCATCGCTCGTGGTCCTGCTTTGCTGCCTAGGCACATGTGCCTGCAGACGAGTTATTGCTGCCCTAGCTGGAGAGCAGAGGTGTCATAGCTTGTGCTACTCTGCTACCTGGGCTGCTCTTCCACTGTTTTTTCTGATGCACAGCCTGGGATGTTAGAGGGTTTTTTAGGTTTTGAGGAGTCTGGGGATAGCAGAGGGTTTTATTCTTGCAGCAGATGCTGTTTGTGTCAGGGCTTCCCCAGGGATTATTTCTGGAAGTCTGTACTCCCTTTAGGAAAGGTTGTCATGGTTGCCCAACTTCATGTCTCTGGCTTCCCCGTGCCTGGTACACAGATTTATCACTCCCCTCCATGGTTACCCATGCAAATACGGGAAAAGCTTTGCTTAGACATACTTCAGAAGTCCTCGTGAGCCTTTCTCATCACCTCGAGCTTGCATCAGGCTGGCATGAGGTTCAGCTTTCTCTCAGCTGCCTGATTGCTAGTGCAAGCAGGGGCTGGCACCGTTTGATGGCTACCTGCTCACCAGGAGCTCCTTCCCACCTGTGTGCACAGTGATAGAGGCCACCTCGCTCTCCTCCCGGCCCCGCATGCTCTTCACCCCGATCTCGTACTTGGTGGCGGGCTGCAGGCGGCGGAGGGCGTACTCGGTGGCATCGCTGGCGATGGCGGTGCTGTCTGTCCTCCCTGCGGGGACAGAGCCAAGAGCTTTGACATCACGGCTGGCCCCGTCCCTGGGGTACAGGAGATGCTTGGGAGGGGAGGGCAATGCCACAAGCCCTCTCCAGGGCTGATACTGGGGGTAAGTGGGTTTTGGGCATGCGCACCTGCATGCCCATCACGCTGCTGGCTCGACCTTTTCGGCATCACAGGTGAAACGTAGGGAGATGAGCCGGGGGAGGCAGGCAGAGGAGGTGGGATTTCAGGATCGGGCCCTGAATTAACCATCCCCGTGGAGGGCATGCTGCAAGGGGTCACTCCCTGTCCCTCTCTGTGCTGAGCTGGCCCTTGGCTACAGTGGCCCTTGCCCGTCCTTGTCCCACACACCCCATCCTTCATCCCTACAGCCTCTTGGTCCATCCCAGCTATCGGTGGCTTTTCCCGGGGCACTGGGATGCTGCCTGGGGTGAGGATGACCTGGTGGCTTGCTCGTGCCTGCAGATGAAGGGAGGGTTGGCAGATGCCCCCTCTCTGTGCTGAGCTGGCCCTTGGCTACAGTGGCCCTTGCCCGTCCTTGTCCCACACACCCCATCCTTCATCCCTACAGCCTCTTGGTCCATCCCAGCTATCGGTGGCTTTTCCCGGGGCACTGGGATGCTGCCTGGGGTGAGGATGACCTGGTGGCTTGCTCGTGCCTGCAGATGAAGGGAGGGTTGGCAGATGCCAGCTCAGGGCACGAGCAAGAGCGGTCTGACCCATTACCTTCGGCGGCACGGTAGGATATTCTATAGTGGTCAAAGGCAGCGATGGGAGGGCTCCAGTAGACGATCATGGACTCCTGGGTGATGTTTCCCACCCTGAGGTCCTTCGGCGCATCGATCCCTGGTGAGATGGAGCAGAAAGCAAAGCTGTGGGAGGCAGGTCCGCTCCCCGTCCCCCCGCCTGCCCTCCTGGCGGGGTCCCGTGCC